CCATTTTTTTTTTTTTTTTTTGGTTTAAAGACGGGGAAATTAAAGGAGACGGGGCGACGCAACAAAGTATTGTGAAGCTTTGTAGATTTGAAGCAAGAGTATGGAGGAAGGGGGGTATTTATATTTATTTAGGAGTGAAAGGAGGACCGACGCGAGCCACGCCAAACGGAACGGGATCTGTCTTCAGAATATTCCCTCCCCTTCGCTTATGCTATGGATATTCCATTATTCTTCCCCTCTCAACACAATTTTTTTGTTGTTGGACCCTCTCAACACCGTTAAACTCATTAATATTCCTTTTTCTTCCCACCAACCAAAAAAATACACCAAACTACCAATACACGTGTTAATGATTTTATGGTTTTTCATTTTCACATTTCCATCGGTCAACTATTGTAATACTAATTTTCTTTGTCGAAAATACATTATATTTTAGGAGATTTACTATTATACCCAATATAGCAGTCCAAATTATAAAAAAATTATACATGAAATGGATTTTAGAAACACACCCAAAATCTATTTACAACATAACAAAAAGGCTTTTAACTTCTTTAAAATTACAAAATTACCATTGATTTCTTAAAACAAACTTAATCCCAAAACCTTATATAAAAAAAACTCAAAACACTCAATAAGGCATCAAATTAATTTAATAATCAAAATTAAATTAAATATGGCCAACTGTCATTTTTTAAGGTTTTTTTTGTTTTATTTATAAAAATTAAATGGTGTAGAGTTTATCTATATTATTAGTGATAAGAATAAATATATGACTAAATATCTTTTATATTTATAGCTAGCTTGGCACAACAGTAACATGATTTCCACGTTTGACGAAAAAGAAAAATATATTATTAGTGCGCGCCACCTGGCACGTGCGTGCGGTGGGGAGGTTAAGTCTGGACTCTTGAAGATGGAGGAAATATCGAGACGAATATTGTTTTGTTGGGAGCTTTTCGGCTTAAGATTTTTTAATCTCAGCCATCTATTAAATGTGTTATGAATTTAATAAGCATTGTGCATGCGATCCAACGGTTAAGACTAAAAATCATAAACCAATCCGAAGAAAAGTATATATATATTGTTTTAGCTTTTGCCTTTTGGTGAAGAACCAGTATTGTTTTGAAAAAACTTAAAAATATACAATTCGTGTCAGCGCCAAGTACGATCGGATAAGATAAGCTCCGCGTGGCGTGGTCCGAAAGTGTCGGGTCTTTGACATCGCCGGCACCGGCACCGGCACGTGAGTTGTTTTCTCGAATTTATTTTCTTCTCTTCTTCCGCTAACGTTTTCTTAACAGTCAAAGACTCAAAAGTCCCCCGGTCTTTTCTTCGTTATTTTGTTTTTCGGTTACATACTTGGGCAAATTGCAAATTGCAATGCAAGAATGAAGATCGACCACTAAAAGATAGAAAATATTAATAAGAAATGGATAAGTGGTGGGGAGATGATGTGTAACCACGGTAGGCTTATCTGTCTGGACCTCTATTATAATAATTAAAATATATATGACCTCAATGAATGATCCACTCCATAGTTGGAGTTGGAGTTGGTGTTGGTGTTGGTGCCAGGCTGCCAGCAGGAATTAGTTTAGTTGGGGATGGGGAACTTGAAACCCAACTTTTACTCTTACAATCCACGATAACAAATGAATAGTATATTAGAATGAATATTGCTCAACTAAACCAGTTACCAGACGATTCCATTTCCATCCTTGTCTGCACAAAATATTCTGGCTAGCGCTGGGGCAGATAGAAAAAGACATGTCAACTAACAAAATATATGAAACAAAAAGAGGAAAAATTAATGGAGAAGGGAAAGGAAATAATAAAGGTGCATGCGTGCTCATCTGTGCTTTGAGTTTTAGGGCTAACCAATAATCGTGGAGTGTGGATGGATGGTGACTAAATATAGAAAGGTGAGTTGGTTCCCACTGTTCCAAACATTGAGCTTAGCTTTTGTCACCAAAGCTAAAGAAAAGCACAGAGAATCTTGTGCCATTCGGGTCAGGAGAGAAAGAGAAAGAGAAAGAGAAAAGCAGTGGCCTCGTTGGATTGATGTTGCCAATTTCTTTCTCTTCTCATGTGATGTACCTATAATATACCGAGGTTAATTTTTCTGCACAATTCAATATCGTACACTTGATTTCATTAAGGAACTCATGCAATTCCAATATGACGCTTTCTCTTTCCAAGATTCATGCTCTAGACACTTTATCTTTTCAGCCAGCCTAGTCAATTACCCCATTTTGTTCATCTTGATGAATCAGAATCTAACTCATGTTGGAGAAATTGTGGGAAACTTCCACCCTTTCACACCCAATAAAACACACAGCCCATTTTCATGAATTGTTTTTGCATGTTCGGGTACCATTTAAGATATATATGACATGTGTTTGAACTCTCCAACTAACTGCACTGCTTTTTTAAAATAAAATTAAAATATTTTCACATGTCCTATGTATATCAGATGGTACACCAAGTTAGCGTACTCGGAAACATGCAAAAATTACTCCGTTTTCAGCTGTCTGTTTGTATACGACTGCAAACTTTTTTCCTCTCTCTCATCATCAGCCTAGTCATGAAATGAGATAAGAAACACACATGATTTAATGATTATATGAAAAGTCGTGTCCAGAAAAAAGTCCCTAGATTCTTCAAAACGGAAAGAAGAAAAAAAAGCAGAATTCGCTAGATTACTGGAGCATGGTGCAATATTCTTGCTTTCTATGCCTTGTAGGAGGAGTTGTTTCTTCATTGTTGTCGATTTTACTTTAATTTTAGGCTTGGAATTCCTTATGTTTTGGGTCGCCTGATAGCATCGGGCTATAATTATTTGGACAGAAGCTAACCAGCCCTACACGACTTTAAGGGTATGAGTTCAATGAGCCCAATTTTGTCTTATCACCTGAATTGGGCTCGGCAGATGAGTTAAGCACGTAGCATTGGCAATTCTGGACAGAAAGGAAAGGAAGCCATCAAAGCCTAAAAAGAGCCCAATCTTTTTATGTTGACAGTTATTTCATGTCATGGTTGTGCATCGTGCAGCTTTGTTCCTTCTTGTTGTCAGACCAATGTCTTGTATGCCATTATTTTAGGTAACTAGGTTTAGGGTTTTTTTTTTTTTGGTCATAAAGGTTTAGGGTTCATTACATTCATTCATAGAGTTAACAACTGGGAGGGAAGGTGTTTGATTCGTACGTACCACCATTAAAGCTTTTCTGTGGAATCTTTCCAAGACCCCTAACAAATTCCAAGTGCTTTAATTTACAGATATCTGATGTGATTATTCATGACCTAATTAACCCAACAGCCCCACCAGGTTTTGTGATTAATCCAAAACTTCACCATGAAACTACTCATTTCATTTCTGAAGTTTTTTTCCAAAGTCAAAGCTAACTAAGACATGGTGATGGTGCCTGCCTTTTTGGCTGGCTGGGTGTAGAAAGAAAGTAGAAAGAAACTAGAAAACACAAAAACAATTAGGTCATGATTTGAATATGAGCCCCAATTGGGTTGGTTGGGCTTCGTTTGCTAGCTAGCTAGTATCTTACGTTACCCTGCATGCCTGCACTGCACTGCACTGCACCTATATCAACACAACACAACGGCTACTTTCTTTCTCATTCATTCATTCATTCAAAATATTATACAATAACCTCCTCCAACCAAGTATCAAAAGTCTCCCAATTGGCGCTCGCTAGCTATTAAATAAACAGAAGGAAGAAGATAAGCTGAAGAAAAGCTGTCTGCCTATTATATCTCTCTTTCTTTCTCTGTCTTCGTTGAGAGATAGGAAGGAGAGCATTAATGGCGAAGACAGAAGCATTAAATATTTCTGAGGGTAAATTAATTGCTTGCATTAATCGCTACAAGTGTCTGTTGGCCCTCTTCAGGCTCCTTCATTGCTACCCTCATCTGCCCCCCAACTTCTCTCTCTCTCCCCTCTTATCCTCTGCAACCACTCTCCCATATCTCATTTATTGCTTTGCTGCTCTCTCTACATCTCTACATCTCTACATCTCTCTCTCTCTCTCTCTGGGCAGTGGGAAGAAGCAGTAATTTAATACATGCCATGCCAAGGTGAAAAGTACTTGAGATTCCATCATCTTTTACAAGATTCCACCACGACACAAAAATCATGGGTTTCTGAGGCCACAAGCACAAGTTTAGTAAACATCCCATTCCATCCCATCCCATCCAAGTAAAAAGACAACTGTAATTATGGGTTCATTTCATTTAGGAGATTTAGATTATCTTACTGTTTTTTCCTCCTCCTAACTGTAGCTTGTTGAACTCAGAACCCAGCTGAGTTGAGCTTGACTCGGGCATGTTGAACTTTGAGCTGGCTGATGAGGAGAACTCTGTTCCTGGTTGCATGGCCACTGAATTTGTAGAAGAAGAAGAAGCACTTAAGCCTGCCTGTGAAGTGTCTTTCATTGACATCATTCTTGATGGGTTTGATTGTGGTGCTGGTGGTGCTGCACAAACTGGGATCACTGATCTGATTTGAACTGCAGGGGCAATCCTGTGCGGGCTGAACCCTCCAGTGTACATGGCTCTGTCCATCATGTGGCTACTTGTAGGCAATGCCTTAATTGGACCTAATGGAAATTGCCTTCCTGTATTAGACACAGGAAATTGCCTGTATGCAGAACTTGAATTTGAATTACTAGGACCCTCCTTTTCAATGGCCTTGTTGTTGTTACTAATAATGATATCTGATTTTCCGGTACCAAGCCATTCTTCCTCATCCCTTTGGTGGTCTTCCAATGGAGGTGGAATAACTTGTGATCCCCTCCTCACATTAACTTGTACTACTGGGATAGGCCTATAATTGGAATTGGTTAATGTGTAGGAAGAGGAATTGTCTTTGCTGAGCAGTGTAGTTGGTGGCAAAATCTTTGAGGCTGTTCTTGGTGGGGGTGGAGGAAGCAGAGATGCAAAGCTGTTTTGCTTCTGCTTTGAAACTTCTGGAACCAAATCTGTTAACAGATCTATCAGCCTCCAGTGTTGATTCTGTAGAGAGTTAGCAGCACTGGATGTGGAGGATAATGATGATGGAGATGATGATGATGATGATGATGATGTAGAGGCAATAGTATTGTCTCTGTGGCATTGGCCCCTGACCATTCTTCTCCTTGCTTGAATTTGATCTCTCCTCCTTATAAATTGTTTGCTATTGTGATCATCTTTGGGTCTAAAATTTGAGAGCACCCCTGTCACAACTGCCTGGTCCTGTTCTTCTGCTTCTTTAGCTGTCAATGGCCCCAAGCCTGGCATTGCACAAAGATGCATACTTGATAAAGCAATTTCATTTTGCTAAAAAATACCAACTAAACCAAATTGTGAGAGAGAATGGGAAATGAGAAGATACTTCTTTTCAAGGCAGACCATGCTGCAATTGCAGCATTCTTCTCGGCTTGCTTCTTGGTTTTGGCTGCCTCACCTGTAAAACTCATGCCAGCAAGCTCTACAGTACAAGTGAAAACTGGGACATGGCCAGGACCTGATCTTACAGTGGTGTACACAGGGAGCTTCAGCCCAGCTCTGTGAGCGGTTTCTTGAAGGAGGTTTTTGTAAATTCCAGTTTCATCCTTGATCAGATACAATCCACAACAAGGTATGAAACGAAGTAAGAAAACTTGCTAATTAATAATTGAAAAGTAACTGAAAACAGAGAATTTCTAGCTTATCTTGGTAGTTGGTTGGGAAAGAAACCAACTTACAAGAACTCTAGCAGTGAGAGACCTGGAAGGGCCTCTTGTGGAGAGTTTATTGAGGGCTACTTCTGCAGCTGCGTGCTCTGCTTGTCTCAATGTGGTGCAGTAGTTTGGGCTTTCAAAGATCTCACCGTTGAAGTTGACAGAAGCTTTGAATCTGGGTGCATGATCTGGTCCTTGTCTGATGCACGCATAGGAAGGGAGGTTGAAACAGCTTCTCTGTGCAAGCTCCTGCAGCTGGTTCTTATACATGATATCGCCTTTCACAAAATGCATCCAAATAAACCATCAAATTCTAAATGATGAAGCCATATTATATATATGATTTCCATTATTCCATACAATCTTAAAAGGAAAACCCATCACCTGAAAATTTGCTCAGACTCAGAGACACTAATTATATATGTAATGTAAGGCTTAGGCAGGAGATATGATCAGCCCACCAAAAGAGTGAAGAAACTGAACTCAACCAACTGATAAAACTAAGACAGAATCAAGCAAGCAACTCACCAGATTCCTTAGTCCTCCTACATTGGCTTCTTGGGAGTCTTCTTGTCTCTCAGGACAAAAGCGTCTGATAGTAAGAGTGGGGGTGGAGAGGAGAAGAAAGAAAAGGAAGTAAATATTGGAGTTGAAGGTAGGTAACTACTAACTAGGTGGAGTGAATATGTCAAAATGCAGCTTTAATTACTCCTCCTGGGTCCTGGCTTCTCTTTATTATTTTATTCCGCTTAGGTTAGGATCCTTTTTTCTCCTTTAGGGTTTTACCAACCGTTACTAACTCAAATGAAATATTTTCCCATTACAGTAAGCTTTCTCGTGTAACGGTGATTGAGGAGGAGCCAGAGCCAAAAACTAGCCTTTTTTTGGGGGGTGGGGGGTCGTAGACTTGTTATTGGATAATTATAGGAGGGTCAAATTACACAAGAATCCTTGCAGGGATACAATTTTACAAATCATTCTCCATCTGCTGCTTTTGTTTTTGGGGCGTGGGGGTTAATATACCCAACCACATTCTATATGTACAATGACAGCGTTGAATTTGAAGTTTAACACCACTTGGCTGGCTCTGTGCTGTGGTCAGTGATTGCTCTGCCCTGGACATTCTGTTGACCGGCAGGGCAGTTGCCTCCCTCAGTTTGACTTTGGAATTTTACAATAGTTAGTATTATAGCTCTTTGCTGGCAACGATATTCAGGCTCTACTCTTATATGCAGCTGGCCTTATTTTTCCACAACGAAGACTAGCTTGTAATAAATAAGTGTTTAGTTTATTTTCAACCTTTAAATTAAAGTAACTTGCGTCAAATTTAAACCTAGGGAGGAGTGAACACTAGCCAAACTTTAAAATTCTCCTGACTTTGAAATCAGAGCAAAGGTGTGAAACCAAGTTTCTTCTCTTTTTTTCTTTTGGTGCAGAAACTAAAAATCTTCATTAAATTCATGAGAGAGAGAGAGAGAGAGAGAGAGAGAGAGCAGTAACTCCACCACAATTGCAATACAATTAGGAACTAACTAATTCCACAAATGCAATACAAAAACAAGAAAGCTCACTCATACAACACACAAATTCCTTCCTAAATGCACAATGGCCAACCCAACACTTACAAAAGACCCTTCCCCAAATTGCACATAATATTAATGTGGGTGTTAAATGGCCACGCACGAACACAAACCACCACTCTGCTGCCACACAATCAAATCCTCCATTTCGCCACTATACTGGTCTGTCACATTTTGGCTGCCTATGTATGTCGGTTCTCATTTGTCAAGCCACCACTGCTACTCCCACCCGTGCGGTTTGGTTCCCCGACTCTAGCTGCCAAAGCAAGAACTTCGGGGGACATTTCCCAGCTTCCACTTTTCCTTCCCCAGCTGGATCGCCTGGGGTGTATTCCAGCACGATCCACGGTTTCATCGACTGTAGTCCTTATATCTGGGGAAACTTCACCTAATTCACCATCCTTCAAATTTAAGCGATCATTGTTGTTAAGTTGCCCTTCGTAATGATCACCCCCAGCATTCATGTCTCCCCACACCGTTTTCCTGCCCATTTCAATGTCCTCCACAGCTTTTCCCATATTTGGGCTCATAAAACCTCCACCCCCTGACCGAGGAGGCAACCCAGGTTCCCTTGGCACCTTCGCCCTGAAATTGTTCTTGGACTGGGGAATGGTGGTACAAAATATTTCCTTGAAATTCTCAACCACTCCTTTGTTATAGGGGTTGGCTCGCCTATCATATCGGTACCGGAAATTCTCATATGTAGTCTGTAAAAAAAACGCAAATATATATAAGCTCCTGTTCATACTAATAGATTAATCGTGTAGATAGAGTTCTGCACTAAAGGGTTGTGACATGTTGAGATGGATCTCTCACCTGATTTGTACTGATGAGATATAAATGGAAGGCTGTAAGACCACCAACAAACCACATTGATATGAAAGTGTAAACTATTAGGACAATAGAGGCTGGAGTTTTAATCATTGCTTTCCAAATTGTCGTGTCCTCGGTTCCCATGATCCTTCTAACGTAGACCCAGCAGAATGCAAAAACATATATACAAAGAAGGGTTGTGGAGAACACAAACATGAAGAAGAATCGATAATTTCTCTGCACCCAAATTAGTGAATGTTCAGATATATTTTCCATAGGCAACTGAGAATCCATCACATCAGCAACAGGAATATTCCATGCCAGTAAATGAAACAAAGCCAATTCAAGAACACATATTTAACCAGATAAGCTCAAGCACGTGATGTGAGCTACCTCCATATGCCAGTGACTGAATCATTTAATAGTCCACTTTCTTTGTTGATTCCAGGTGCAGACTTGTATATTCAAATCTTTGGTATATTACTACAATTACCAATGTATGGATGCATGAATGTATGTATGCAGACATTCATGCATGTATATAGTTTGAAAGAATGCACATATTATGTGTGTGAGCGCCCATATGTGTGTCTGTTTGTCTCATTTCATATACATTGGCAGAGCAATCAGAAGGCATGAGTCTAATGAAAGAATTACTTACCAGCCCAATACACTGCCCAACCCAAGGACAATGGTGATCGAATCTTTCTACACAATTGTTGCATATTGAACAGTGGGAGCAGCGAGGAGGTCTATAAAGCATACAAGTATCACAATACTTGATCTTGACAGGGATTCCATTCACCTCTACTTCCTTGATGCGAGGCAAACGCAACTGTGGTGTTTGTCCAGCCCCACCTTCTACGTTCCCATCAAATCCTTCTGGCTCTGGGGGGTGTGTGTTACGGGGAATTATACCAGGATCTCTTCCAGAGGTTAGCAGGAGAAGAACTAAATCCTGAAAATAGATCATTGTGTCATTATATTTTCACACTGCAGATACATCAACATATCTAAAGTTAGCACTATATCCACCTGCGAATTCCCAGGCCCAACTCTCAAATCTAGTAGAGATACAAACAATAAATAAATTTTAGAATAGGGTGCTTGTGGAGGCACAATTTTACTAGAAACTCCAGAACTTGTTACAAGTTACAACAACTCTACAAACCTAATTGATTATCATTTACTTCTACAAAGACTCCTGTGAAGGGAAGAAAACTGACAATACCAAAGTAGATTCAATAACCTAGACTCATATTGAAGCCTGTCTATAGTGGTAAAGGTTTAAGACAGAGTAAATTCTACAACAACCTACAAACTGCATTGATAAAAATCACTCATAGAAAGGGTATCATACTCAGAGGAAGCGATATGCTCCATGAGGACCTACTACCAACTTATACCAATCCATATCTCATAACAAGTTCAATCCTCCATAACTTACCATGTTCCCCGCTAATCTCTGCAACAGAGACTAGCATGTTATAGTGTGAAAATTGTGAATCAGGACCCCACATTCTAAGATGATTCCACCAAATCAATAGTCCTGATAGTAGCTTTCAACATAACATGCCAAATTGTCTGGCAAAATAAATTTTCCTTTACACAAATAAGCCGTGTGTGATTTAGAGAGAGAACTCACATAAACTGTGAATACCACAGCGACAACCATTATCAATATTCCCAAGTGATGTGAGAAATGGTCCATCAACTTTCTTGCAACAAAGATGCAGAAAATTGTGACAGGAGCAACAATTAGAAATATGGTCAGCCCCAGTGATCTTACATCTGGTCCGAAAATAAACCTTCCCTGAAGGAAAAATATCTGCAAAGAAGCAAAAATAACTATATGTAAGTTTTCATAATGCCATTCATACTCTTTTCAACCAAAATAATAATAATAATGCCATTCATACAAGGCAAGGTACTGCACTACAAGCAGCATCCAATTCTAACAGCAAGCCAAGCTTGGCATTCAAATACATGTAAAACATAAGCTCTATGCTTATCAATCTATAAACAATTGCCACCTATACTATAATTCCTTGTTAATGAACACAAAATGAGCCGACTTCGTCGTCATCCTTGTCTTTGTCTCGTATGTATAGGGTCATCCGTATCAATTCTTGTATTCCACTGTTTTCATTATATTCAAATTGCAATGTCTCTCGTATGAAATCTAATTTTCTTACATCGTTTTCGTATTACTTGTAAACTTTTTCAAGAGGCAAAAGAAAAAATTTCATTCCTTGACTGTAACATCTATCCAAAAATAGATATAAAAACATACGAACAATAGTAGTAAGGTAACAACAATAATACCAATCACAATCACAATAATATAAAAATAGTAACCAACAATGAGAATGGTGCGACACAAAATCGTAATCCATCAAGTCCTAAAACTGAAATGATATAAATAGAGAGCTACTGAAATTATTCCGGCAAAAATCTAGCAAAAAGAAAAAAGATAAGGAAGAAAATATTATCAGGCTAAAGGGAGAAGAGGAAAAAGAGAATAAAAAGGAAACTGACATTGCTGCCTTTCCAATTTTGGTAGACCCGCAAATCAGTGGAGGCGCCGGCGGATCCGGAAGCCGGATCCGATCGCTGGGGCGGAGGCACCACGTACATCGCTTCCTCACCACCAACGCTGTCAGTTTAAGTCTGAGTTTCAGCTCAATAAGATCCTCCTCGCTCGATAGCCGATACAATGATGTCGACCCTCAGGCCCCAAGGAAATATGGAAAGACCAAAAATTGATAATGGAATGGAAAAAGGAGCTCGAGGGCTCTTTCGGGGCTGGCAAATGGGTCGGGTTCCGGCGAGCAGAGTGACTGGTTAAGGTTGGGCGACAAGGCATGCGGGTGGGGTTGGGGCAAAAGGGTTTTTCTTCATCCTTTTGGAGGTGGCTTTGCCTTGGCTTATTACTTTGGGGGGGGCTAAAGCAGCAGAGGTTCTATCACTGTTGTGTGTATGTGCTTTACAGGGGGGATCGGCTGATGTGGCGGGCTCTGATTGGGTGGGGAGGCTGGGGATGGAGCGGCTGGCTGTGGTGGGTGAGAACCCAGTACCAGTCCCAGTGTGCCTTTTTTTAAGTTTTTTATTTTTTGTTTGTCCCCAACATAGGAATGTGACCGGCCCTTCCTTCTAGTCTGGTTTTGAACCCTTTCCTCTGTGTTTGGTTGAGGTATAAATAACTTGGAGTTTAGCTGAAGTAGGTATCTAACTATCTCTAAACAATAAATAAGTGGTTTTTCATTCCCATATTTTCCACTTTACTTACAAATTCTGTAATAAATTACCAACTAACTTTTATTCTATTAGCATTTTTCTTTGTAGTGTTAAAAGAGTTTCTGAAGTCGAATCTCATTTCTCATTGATTTATAATTAAAAAAATCTCCTCGTATAATTATGTTTCTCAAAAGTTCCATCAACGTTGATTTCATACTTACAACAACTTGGTTCACTTGTGAGTTCATTCATTTCAACTTCACATAATTACAACGGATATTTTTAGCATATGTCATATTTGATATTTCTGTAATCCTTTATATTTTTTTTTTCTATTTTTGTTAGGCTTAGTTTTTTAAAAAAATTGGTGATTTTCTTGGCGGAGATGTGTGATCACTAGCAGATCCATTAATGAAGTTCCAGTGAAGACACTTGCCCTCACTCAATTATATTATTTACATATGAAGGTGCCAATTTTTATGAAGTTTTGTCATTAATGAGGGCAAGTTGTTTGATAAAATGCATCAAAGAAGACTATGCCGGGGGCAACCTGCTCTGCTCCTCTACTTATGTCACTCTTCTCGTTCTCTATACTCACTCTTCTCATTCTTATGTTTGTGTTGTTAATAGAGAAACTAAGTAGAATGTGTTGTATTACTAATTTGTGCATAAATATGTTTATATGATTGTGTTTTTTTTCTCTTACTTTTAAGAATCGACTTATCTTCATTATTAATGGCATTGCAGTAATGTTTTCTTGCACCACAAAAGAAAGTTCCTGCCGCTACCACTGTATGTGGTAGACATTAGTCACATTATATTACTCATTGCAAAACATTAACAAAAAAACAGAACCAAAAAAAAAAATTGAGAATACTATATACTTTACTTGAAAAACATGAATTGCTTTACAATCTTTCTCAATACTTGACATGTGCCTTTTGGCATAACTATAGTTAACTATTTACTTTGTATTTGTGTAACCATGATTATACCCATGGACGTGTGTCAAGTGTTGAAAAATATGGTGATAATACATTTTGAGTTAAAGTTGTGAGCTAAAATACACTTGAAAAACACAAACAAGAATCATAACCAAACGTATACGCATAAACTTACTATACCTACATATTAGAGACATTTATAGAAGAAGAAAAAAGTTATTATAAGTGATTAGAATATTGAACCAATAAAACTTCTCAATCAAAATTTCATATCTTTGGTAAAAACCCCTTTGAATGCTCTTCATGTTCCCCATGTATTCTGTTCACGGAATTTTAGATGGAAAATCCATTAAACTCCCGGAATTCACAGAATGCCTTTTGAGTACTAAATATTTTATTTTATAATTAAAAATGAAATCCTTGCACACAAAAAGGAAAAAGAAAAAAGAAAAAAGAAAAAAGAAGGCTTTGTCTGCGGTTCGAGAATTGTTTAAAGACATAAATTCTTTCTTTTTAAACAAGAATGAGATCTACAACAACAGTTGTCCATAGTCCACACGTCCACACGTCCAGTGCCCCTCTAATTTTATTTGTGTGTTTCTTTTATTCCATTATTATTTTTAACCATTCGAGACGAATAGTGCCTATATATATAGAGTACCATTTGTGTTTGTGGATGGACGCTTGCTGTAAAGTGGCAGATGAGCAAAGCAAAGCTGCAACTTGCAACAATGAATAACACAGCGTTTGGTAAATAGAAAATATAATGTTAGGGTTATTATTAGGGTAAGTGGCATGATGGATGGATGAACCCCCTTCCCTTCCTTCCCTTCCCTGTGCTTAAATGAATGATGAATCCTTCCACGACCATGAATCCATCATGGTTGCAGCAGCCTCATTGAATTTTGGACAAGCCATGTGTGCCTGCTCTTTTGCCACTTATAATATACAAATTACAAGTTAGGCACTGAGCTGCCCCTCCAACTCTCACTATAAATTCTAGAATGTGTACTCAAGTTCGATTTCCTTTCTTGTACTCAAGCTCGACCTTCTCCTACCATATACTTGTGTAAATCGGATTAACAGTTGTACGGAATAAAGGAAAAAAGAAAAAAAGAGTTTCCGAAAATGAGATGACGTGATTCTTTTATCATCCGATTCCACCCACAGAGTCAGACTCAGACAGGTGTTTTGGAATTAGTGATCGTTCTAACTCGATTAACAGTATTTGAAAGCATCTGGACGTAAAAGCACCCGACGGGGTTCCATGGTGTAGTGGTTAGCACTCTGGACTTTGAATCCAGCGACCTGGGTTCGACTCCCGGTGGGACCTTTTTACTTTAGTTTTTTTTACATGGGGCCCAGTAGATCTCTCATATGAAGAAAGCCAGACAGACCATCTCCCCACTGGGCCACGGTCACCAGTTTCTTTTTTAATAGTTAATACTTAATACCTTCACCTTCGATTACAAGCAGCTTCTGCTGAAAGTTGAAAACAGATTTTTACTTTAGATTATATGTGGATCACAAAAATTGCCTCGGGATTGTATACAGATGATCTTTTGACATGAAACTGAGATTAGATTCAGGAATGGAATTGGTAAATTCAAAAAAGTCGCTATTGGGTTGGTATGGTAACTTTAATAGGCAAAAAGCCTAGTCAGTTGTGCAAATTAATACATGATGCATTCCCCTCTCGTGCAAATTGCAAATTGCAAATGATGAGATTATGTGCCTTTTCTTAATATAATACAAGGTCTAAATCATAAAACAGAAATAACTGACAGCGTCAATAACCACTTCCACCGTAAGTATTAATTAAGTAGTATGCACAACAGAACAGACACAATGCAAAGCCTTGCACAGAGCAGAGGGCAACACAATAGACACAAAGGAAGCCTCCAGCAGCTTTCAAAATTACAGGAAGATTACTGTCACACTATTTGAGCAGCACAAGCTTTTGTCATCCACAGAAAGACTCGAAATATTACAAGTTGAACACAGCACAGCCATGGCAAGCTTTGCTCTCATTCCCAAAATCCTATCATTTCTCCACCTCCATATATGATCCACAATCCCAGCCAGCCAGAGCCAGAGCCAGAGCTAGAGCCAGAGCCAGGCAAAGCTTTTTTCACTACATAACATAATGCACTTGTTTACCTTTCCATTGAACAGCACAGCAGCCCAATTAACAAAGATGAGACCAGAAATGATCCCATATTCACCATGCACTCTAGAGTACTATGTATCATCATCACAAAAGGAACAATCAAAGAATTAGTGCTCATGAGACTCCAGCAAAACCTGACACAAAACACACAATCTAATAGCCCATGGAGTCTATACAAGTGCTCATAAGTACTAGACAAGGATTCTGTCAAGAGTTGCCTGCTTACCTTTGTTAGCTAACCAAAGGATGGAAACCTCCTCCCTCAACATTATTGTTGCTAATTCACATTAGACAGATCAGCCCAAGCTGTCATAGGCCTAGAATTTCTGAGTTTCTCCCAAGCACAAGCAGTACTATAGAGTATAGACTCCATCTTTAGCAGGAAGCCACCTGATCCTATCCCTACCATCAACATTATCGGGAACCAAGTGGTTTATGGAGTTCCTGATTTCAAGTAAAGCGTTGGAAGTTAGATGAGGCCAAAACCCAGTGTAAAATTTAATACAGTTGTGGCTTAATTATTAATATCTTATTCTCATGCCTATAGTATAGTGATTCTGCTCTCCATCAGTATTAGATATTTTCTTCCATCACCATCCTGAACTATAAAAACATAAGTTAGGGGCAATAATCTTTTCATTTTTCGCGATAGGCAATCATCTCACGGGTTAGTGGCATAATAGTTGTTAGCACAAAAAACCAACCCAGACCTTACAGAACCCATGTATTAGATGAGTGGTGGTAACTACTTCTGTACATGACGAAAACAAATCTTATGTAATTGCATATTGACTTAGAAACTACTTCCGGCTTAAATGTTTCTTGGTGCACAATCAGCAAAAGCTAAAAACTCCAAATTTATTTTTTAAATGGAAAGTTGTCTGTACTTTGAAAAATTCTACATGGTGGGGGCAAACCCAGGCATTGCACTATAGACTAGTTATCTAAAGTCATCATCACTAATTTGTGCACCTTGTCTTCGTTTGTCTCTCCAAGTCTCTCCCCACACCTTGGCCTCAGCAACAGCTCTTTCTCTCTCCAACTCCTTGTTTAACATAGTTGTTTCATCGGGAGAGTTATCCCCTGAACCCTTTACTTCAACCTTGTTGGTCTCATTTGGTTCATTATATGGACGGGATGCCAAGTAATCCATAGCTAGCACAATATCCCTCATTGAAGGCCGGGCACCAGCATCTTCTCTGAGACACATGGAAGCCACTTCAAAGGCTTTCTTCAAGACAGATACTGAAAAGCGACCTTTAAGCTGTGGATCCGCAAGTTGCGCAACATTCTTGTGGTCTTTCATAAAAGGACGTGCCTACATAGGCAAAGAATGGGATCAATCATAGCTAAATATCAGTTAAAGACAATACTGCTCTGCATATTTAGAAATTGAACACATAACCCTACACAGAAGCAAAATCTTTTCTTATGCCAAGTATTCAACCACGGTGACCTCCAAGATGAGTTGAGTACTATCAAAGCCAAAATTTACTGCTATGCATTATTTCATATATCCTCTTAAAAAATAAGAAAAGATTCCCCACTTCACAAAATTGGTTAAAACTGAGGCAGTTGAATTATACAACTACAACATAAGAACAGCTTGATAAAATACCATGCAGACAAGACATCAATCGTTGCTTAACATCCTCAAAATTAACAAGCAACAGAATGCGATAATATCTACAAAAAAATACTCAGACCTCTACAATACTTATTTATGCACTCGAGATGATAGCTATAGCTATAGCTACAGGGTTAACTGAAGTAACTATATAACGTTGCCCTTGAGAGCCTAATCAGATGCAATGTTGGCGTACTAGTAGACATAATAAAATGAAACAAAGTGAATTACCCACTCAACAAGATGCTTCTCACGACCAAGATTGCTATCAATCGCCTTATGTCCAGTGATCAGCTCCAACAATACTACTCCGAAACTGTAAATGTCAGACTTTGTTGTCAGCTTTCCACTTTTAGCATATTCAGGAGCACAGTAACCATGAGTACCCATGACCCTGGTGGAAACATGCGATCTATCGCCGGTTGGACCAAATTTTGCAAGCCCAAAATCAGAAAGCTTTGGGAAGAAACCTTCGCCCAATAAAATGTTAGCTGATTTTACATCCCTATATATTACAGGTGGATCAGCTTCATGGTGAAGATATTCCAATCCCCTGGCTGCACCTGCAGCTATCATCATCCTTGTATTCCAATCAAGTGGCTCCTTACCAGGTGGAGGATCTGGCAACAATAACATGGGGAGGTCAGGCACTTGAAAATTTTATAAATGAGAAGATCTAGGATAGCGAGTTACACGACATGCATTAAGTATGATTAGCATTAGAGCCTACATACATAAGTTCTTTAGAAGTCAGACTGTAATGGGTAAACACGAGAGCTGGAATGTCCTTAGAGTGGTTCTACTGCCTCATATATGTCACTCATAAATATTTGAAATAAAATTTCCTGTTTTACTCACAATATGAAACAAACATATAAAGCAGAGAGTTGAGGTGAACTACAACTAACATGGTTCATCATTTATTAGTTGTACGTGTGTTTGGGTTACCTCAGACTAGAGTTGAGTTTGACCCCATGGATCGAGGAAAAACTCATATTCTTCAGTCACTAGAACCAAGATACAAGCTCTAAACTACATTAAACTATGTGATGCATAGCCTACTTTGGCTAAGCAAAGTCTTCAGGAGAATATGATTCATTGGGAAAGACTGAGAAGAAACATTCACAATCCATTGTTTATAGGAGGGAGCTCACGAATTACACTCTTGTAACTCTGGCCACCCCCCTCAGAACCTATTGATGAGAAGAGGAGAAGCTCCTTTTTTCTTGGTTAATTTTGCACAAGATGTATAACTGAATATATAGTGAATCAATTCATGGGAGTTTAAGCATGAAAGGAACTACATATCGTGTTATAAAGTGAAAGCTGAATGGCATTAAAGCATTTACAGTGGAGGTGATCTGCCAAGCACCCTAAGGGCATGAATTCATAGACAAGCAGGCGCTGCTCCCCTTCAGCACAATAACCACTTAAACTGACAAGGTTAGGGTGACGCAGAAGAGAAAGCATGAGAACCTCCACCAGAAACTCCTTTTCTCCTTGAAGACCCGTCTGATCGAGTTTTTTTACTGCGACAACCTGCTGAAAAGAAACTGCTCTCTTTAAAATTGAATAAGACAAATCATGAAAATAACTTAAGTGATGGGGATGAAGATATCAGCAATCTTGAATGATAAAAAAGTTAATAAGAAGTTAGTCATCCCTTGAAACACTTACTTGACCAGATCCCAGTTTTCCTTTGTATACAGCCCCAAATCCACCTTCTCCGATACAGGAGTCCGTCCTAAAATTTTTAGTTGCAGTTGCAAGCTCACGGAAGGTGAATGTCTGAGCCTTATTTTCAGCATTAGTTCCATCTTCTGGAGCAGATTATAGGACAAGATTCAATAACATAAAAGAAGCAGAAATATCTAATAGTACAGGGCAGAAGAGAGAACTGTATCACATCAATTTGATTCAAGGTGTATAATCCTGACTCAGAGCATCTTAAAATTCAAATTCAGTAACTTAAGCAATTCTCCTAGAAATACATTGCAACTGTAAACAGCTTAGCTAAGATTTAGTGTTGGTATGAGTTCTCCAATAGTTATTGCTGTCATTTCATTATCCTATTTAGGTACTGGCAGTGAGTAACCTTGGAACTATGGCTAGCTTTGTCATGATCCTAGACAAGTCCAGCTGAAAAGTATAAAACCCTTAACAAGTGTCAATCTTGAATATTTTTGCACGCTTGTTCTAATCCATATTTTTAATATTTTCAGAAAAGATTGAAACATGGGATTTCAAAAAAGATGTCAGTTTCAATTGAAACCAGATAACAGAAGGTGGTAACTGGTAAATTAGAAAAACAAAAATCCCAAATTGAGAAAACAAGAAACTCCAAGAACATGATCGCATTCAGTTATAATACCCGCGATGAGCTAAAGGCGCAAAATCTAAAAAGCCAACTGATTACAATATTATAGCATGACCCAAATCACAAAACAACACAAAGAATCAAGAACACTGTCTTGACTCTAAAGTTTGATGACAGGAAACAAACTGATAGCATTCTCAAACTGGTATTCTAATGGAAAATAAAGAAAGAGAAAGAAAGAAAAACCAAGAAGAAAAGAAAGAGAGACAAATCGTATCGTATCAACTGACCAGAAGACAATTGAGGCACATTCTCCTCGGGCTTGCGTATTGTGGTCTTCTCGACGTCTTTCTCTTCGTCTGTGTCGCTCTTGAGCTTCTTCCCCTTCCTGAACCCGAAACATGGGCAATAGCCCATGTTGCTCCAACGGAGATGAAAAATGTTTTCCAAAATCCAAAGAAATTTAAAAAAAGAGAAAAAATGGGAGAGCCAAATTAAGCACTCAACATTTGTTCAGAGTGGCACACACAACACAACACAATCCAACCGAACCCTTTTTTGTATACGAAGGCAACAGAAACAGAGGGCTCGCAATTCCCCAAACACACAGGCTTCCAAGAAACGACGTACCACGGGACGAACGAGTACAAATGGGATCTTTTTCTAGAATCCATGCTGTCGCTTTTAATATGACGTCACCACTCACACGTAGTCATTCCTTTTGTTTTTTATTCTTAACTTTTGGATTGGTCAACTTCTTCTTTTTACTTTCTTTTTCTTTGACATTCTTCTTCTACCTAGTTCTGATATTCTATCCTTTCTTCTTCCTTGCTAATAATAATAATAATTAATAGTTCTGCTAAAATAGAATAACAAATTATTAATAGTATATAATCTCTTCTGGAATTAATAATTTATATTTATTTATGCCGGAATCCTTGACATTATTATATGTAATCTGTTGGATTTGATTTTAATACCAAAGACGTTTTCCATCCTTTCAGTGCTTCAAATCAAATCTGTGAGACTGTGACAGTCGATATGCTTTTCTTATTTATCTAAAATATAAAAAGAAAAAAAAGAAAAAAGAAAAAAGAGAAAAGAGATGGTTCTTTCTGCCATTTCAAGTTTGGACTTAACAACCATATATGGTTACGAGTTGACCACCACGTATGGCTACTAGGAGGACTTCACTTCACTCTACTTCGACCCACCCAAACGGCAAGGGAAACTCATTCAAAAAAACATTGAATCATTATTACTCTCAAGAGAATTTGAGAAGACACGTCAGGCTTAGGTGTTCAACCTAAATAAATAAATTTCTAGTAAGCTCGATACACTTTGTTCAATGGAAAATACTTCCCTTCTTTTATGCATGTAGGAACATCCACATTCTTGCCAATGGCAATTGAACATGTGTAGAAATCTTTCTTTTTGTGTTGTCAATTCCATAGATGGAGGCAAGCAATATCCTTGTTTAATGAACCTGCGTATGTAGATATTCCCCATGTTTAAGATCTAAATCATTTTTAGCTTTAGCTCATTTCTACTTATTAAGGGTGTTGATCAAAACTTCGACAAACAAAATTCGAGATATTTAAGATAAAAAAGGCAACCGGCCATGACTTTGATTTGATGGTGTACAACAAAAGAACCCAAAAAAAAGAGTTCGATAGAACGTCAATTAGTGGCTTGATGTTACAAGAATAAAAAGTGGAGGACGTGCCCAAACATAGGATGAATTAAATGCAACGTCAAGTATTACAAAAGGAATGGAACAGTTTTCACCACAACCTTCCTTGAGCTACAAAAAGTGTCAAGATAATTTTCATCAATTGTGCCAAACCCCGATAACTGGATGCCGTACTCCGCCAACTTCTTGACATCCCTTGGAAGGGGGGATTGCCAAAGGCCATCCCACCATGCTGGAGGGAGAAGCGGTGTGAAAGCACATTGATTAGGCTGGTTATGACACCCAAGGGGACCTGCAAATCTGTTCCACACATGCCCCCAACCAATCTGAAATCTTAAACCGTCTCTCAATAAATCACCTTGAAAGCTGCTTAAAAATGCAAAATTAGAACCAGTTGGTTTGTCGCCTGCGAAAGATAGAATAGAATGAACATTACAACACTTTTGAGGTTTGAGCAACATTTGTTAAAGGAAATTATCCAAACACTATCTGTATGTATGTACCAAGATTGTTTGCTGCAGCCAGCGCTGCAATTAACTGTGCATAAGTCGTCCCAACACGCCTGTGAGCACCGGACACAACAGCATATTTTGCACGTGATGCAAGAAAGAAATCTACAAAGGCAACCCATCTGGGCGCTGGGCCCCAATCTTTCATTCTAAAATCTAAACTGTGCAATCCCTTTCTGCTATCAGATATATTTCCTTTGAAAAGTTCATAATCAAAATGAATGACCTAAGAAAACCACAATTCAATTAGAATCAAAAGGACACAATTCGATTGTTAAACAATTTGTTAAAAAAAGAGATTCTCAAAGTATTTAACTCGTTTGGGTGAAAGAAATTAAGGCTGCATTCCTGACAACAGATTTAAAAGAGAACAAAGTTATATAGAGTCACACAATGTGTAGCCACAAATAGGGGATGCACACAGGTGGTATTTATTATAAAATTCATAATTTCATGAGTGTTATACAATGCTGATTATGCAGTATAATTTGTAACATGCCAGTGTATAAGTATATTACCTCTGCAAATTTACTTATATTTGGTGTAATACTTTTCACAAGAGAGGGAGTATCTGACACTATGACTACCCTGGGTCTTGGGGACTTGCCAAGATTTTGCTTAGCTTTTCTGATGCAGTTCAATGCTGCCTGTGCAGCTCTGATAGACCTGGAAAAACGAGGCAAAAACCTGCATCATTGATTAAACTCATAGGAGTGTCGAGTGTGTGTGTGAAAGCTTTCTGATGCATGCATGCATGCACACTACAATTGGTGTGGTATCAACTAACAGGGGAAGTTTAAGGATAATAACACTTCACAATGAATTAGCTGCAAAATTTAACCTATTTCTGAATTCAAAATTTAACCTAATCAAGAAATGAAATAAATGGGAGGTTGCATTACTTATTCATGAGCATTCGCATGTGCAGTGAAATATCAGGTTCCACTCCACTAAGAACCCAATTGACGGCATCCTTAACATCCTCAGAAGGAGTTATAAGCACTCTCATCAGCTCCCCAAATACATTAGGCCGAGAATGGAGAACCTCTGGCTTTCCAAATAAAATAGAAGCAGCATTCCTCATCTTGGGGTGTATATTTTTCAAGAAAAATTGGGCTGCCACAGCATCATTTGTACCTTGGAACCTGCAGTATTAATGTTAATGATCATGTGATGATATCCAATGATGAGTTATCTAAAATTTGTCTCACTTTACCATATGATAGGTTGCTTCCATTTCCTCCAGTCACTACAAAGAACATTTGTCTGTGTCGGCTTCTCAAAGTCATCAGTCCTCATAATCAGTTGCCTTCCATACTTCTTAACACATTTATTAAGTCTCCACAGATGCTTAATTTCTCTCATTGTAAAGGAAACGTTGGAATAAGAAATGTAATCCCCGAAAGGGAATTTTCCCCTGAAATAAGCAACATCTGATGTGAGCACAAGAAAAAGCATGAATTGCTGCAACTTAGTTATGATGATCCTACTTGTGTCAATGTGTGTTGGACCCCATTATGTGGTAATGCTAAGGTAAACCATTGAATGAGTTGCGAAGAATGCATCCAAGGCACATGAAAAATGATTGAAGTGTAAAATTATAGGTTCCCATAACAGCACTGCTTCTGGGGCATTCTAATAAACATTCAAAGGAAGCTCTATATAACAATTTTTTTTTAATAAGAAACAAGCAACATATAACATATAATAGTATGGTTTAATGGTAAGCCAAAAGACCAAGTTTTTCGAACAATTCAGGTTACCACAGGGAAAAAGAACTTATGAAATACAAGAAAAGAAAGGCTTGAGAAAGAACCAATATGCCTGGTTTGCCCAATGATTAGGGACCGGTTTAAAAGTATACTCAATGCTGCACCACTTAAAATTTTGTACATTTCATTCCCGAAACCTGCCTCTGATGCTTTACCCATCACAAAGCCATGCTGACAAAACTGTTCCGGAGGAAGATTTCGAACCCGGGAAGCACCTGAAATTGAATGAGTCGTATGAGCTTCCATCTCTCAAAAGTTCTAAAGGATGAATCACAGGTTCCACACTCAAAGTAGGATGCTATGGAGTATGAAAAAAAAACAAATAAGACATTAAAAATCACATTTTTTTTATTATAAGGATATCAGCAAATTCATTGAAAAACATAGATTAAATATAACAAAAAGCTCGTATATGGAACAAGAATGTGAAAGATGGATGGCCTGACTGGGAGTAGTTGTGAGGAATAAATACACTAGATGGAGTCAGAATATGGGCAGGCAAAGCATGAAAGTGCTAGTAGAATTGTTCAAGCAGAATCAGGGAACATAACCAAATGTATCTCACACAAATGTAAAATCTTAAAAGAAGCTGAGAAATTAAGAACAGGACCAATTTCAACGTTCGGGACTATCATATGAATCAGGTAGCATGTATATTACATTTAACACTAACAATCAGCCTGAAGAAAATGAGAATAGAAAAATACCATTCAAGTCAAAGTGATGTTGAATAAGTTTCCTGACTCTGAGACTTTCCTCCCAGAACCCTCCTTTGAAGTCCTTTCCCATCTCTTCCACCGTAGCACAGGAGTTGGATTTTCTCTTACTCTTGTTCTCAGGTTCGTCCTCAACCCCAACCCTACCGTCGCTTTCAGACTCCGAATCCGAATTGTGAATTTGCATAGGGAAATCGGGGCTCGTTGGAGGATCAACTTGTCTTAAGTTGAGCATCAACAGCCCCATTCCAGCACACAATGCACACACTATCAGAATTGATCCTGCAGACACCCGTCTCCTTCTCCAAACACCATACCTCATCTTTTTCCTTTCCTTTTCTTTGTGGCTAATGGATCTGAGGCCACAGATCGCCTGCCGACTACCTCTGCCTCTCAAGAAGCTCGGTTACTGAAACACACACAGAGAGTGGCGAGTGTTGAATGGATTTGGGTTGGGCCACCGTTATTTTCTTTCAGGCCATGCCTCGTGGCCCACTACTAAGTCGAGTAATAACTTCAGTCAATAGAAAATAAAGGAAAAATAAAAACAAAAACCGAACTCACGAGAGGGAGACGTGGCGACCACAAAAAGAAGGTAGGGGAGGAAGGGAAGGCCAGTCAACGGTCAAAAATTCAAAAATTCTAACCACCAGTACGCAACAAACCAACAAACAAACAAATCAAGTCCACCAAGCAAATTATAGCTCCCCTCCAGAAAATATTGCGTCCGTACATTCTCCCATGCCACCCTCTCTCTCGCGCCCTTTACAACGACCATTTCAATCCACACCTTAACATACAAAACACAAAACAAAATCAAAGCATCAAAAAAACAAATAGAATTTTGTTATTATTTGCTAAAACC